ACTGTGGGTGAACATCCAGGAATGACAACGAGCCGGTTGGTCCCAAGCTGCTGATTGCTCCAGGCTGAGGCGGTATTTGGATGAGCATCACCATACACTGGCCTGGTCTCTGCATTCACCCAGAGGCACCTGCTGCTCTCCCAGGAAGGGACAGGGGGCTTTCTGGAGCTGCGGCCTGACCCTGTCACCCCCATGGCCTGGTGTCAGAGCTGACTTCAGGTCCCTGATGAAGCACCTACCTTCCTACAGGGCTTGGAAGACACTTCAAAGGATGCTTTGAATGCTCGTCTCTGCTGCGTAGTAAGTATTGTCCTTGGTCGTTTAGGTCTTCTCGGGTCCTTCCCGTCATCACTTCCTTTTCCTTGGGTTACTTGTCCTTTGGTGGGCTTAACATCTCCATCTTCATCATCGCTTTTAACTGGTGAAAAATGAACAGGATATGAAATGGTACTTGTTCCACCAAGCCAGCAGGGTGTTCGAGAACTGCTCTTCAGCTGCCAAACTAGTTCACAGGTTCAACTATTGTCCCACGTTTATCTGAATACCTAAAGCAACTGCAGGCAGGAAGATGCTATCTTAGATTTGCGTGCACTGCCTAAATCAAACGCCACAAAAGCATAAACATGTGTTTAAACTTTTAATTGAGGGCACGGGACTGATCAGGGGATGGAAATTCAGAATACGCTTCAGTATTTCCAGGAATGGGGCACAGGGAGATTTTGAGCCCTTCCAGCATCGCTTGGTCCCCCGTGTGCTCACCTGCTGCAGCCACACCAACCGGCACACACCCTTCCCTTCACGGCGGAGCTGCATCTTCTCCTGAAGCATTGCTGCAGGCAGGTACTACTGCCCACACCGCTATGGCAGCAAAACAGCGTAAGTGCAAATATTGCAAAGGTATCTCGAAGCCTGTTTAGCTAAATACGGTGCAGAGTCCAGTAATTGTTCTGAATATTTCGACGCTCTAGAGATAATACTTAATCTAATCGTTGCCATGTCATTTCTGTATCCCACAGAAAACATCAATGTTCTTTCTCTGTGCAGTACAATGTGTCTATATGTGCACGCACAAATTTCTCTTTCTTGGTAAATACATACAAGTATACCTGTGCTTGTGTAGACCAAATAAATTACCTGTATTTTCTATAGTTATATTCTGAATATTCTTACCCTCTGGTGATATTACATGTGTTAGTATATTGTACTGGGAAATCTCAATCGCAGTGGCAAAGGTTGAAGAGTGAGTACAAATTTTGTTGTGAAAAACAACTTTTCAACTCAGCATATTTTATTTCACCAGACTACTGATTTTTCTTCATTAATATATATAACATTAATATACTATTATACGGACTTCAACATGAGGAAACACACTGCAATTTTTATATACTCAAAGATTACGTTTGGGGAATTAACAAATTAGACTTTAATTCATCTTAGGGTCTGATTATTACGCACCTAGCAATCTAATCACCTTTTACTTTAATAAGCATCTTTTGCCTAATGATTAAAGAGAAGTTCAGTCATTTTAATAACCATGACATTATTAACTTTCCAGGATGCCATTTCTAAGGAAAGGTTTGTGAGGATTAATATTGCTCACTGGAGAGTTACTTTTGTGTCCAGTGGATAAATATTTGATTGGAGAAGGACACACTCTCAGCCAGGGCTATGTGAAATCATTTGCTCTCACACAGGCATCTGGGAGATCTGTGTTTTCAATGTGTTAGACAACAGGAGACAAAACACCCCATTTAATTTGTCAGCTTGTTTTTCAGGTTTGGGTTTGGCTAACAGAAAATAATGAGGGGAAAATAAAGCGTCTCCAGGAGTAAGAAACTACCCCTTGTGCCAAGGGCAAATGAAACTGAAGCCAAGGCCGTTTTGTGCCACCGCGGTGGCTTTCTGCCGATCACAACACAGAAAATCTGGTCCCAAAGGAGAGCCCACCCGTGCCCCACGCAGATCCCCAACGCAGCCGGCCAGCAAACAGCAGCCACCAGCGCCCGCGCGGCTGGTGAGGAAGGCAGGGGAGGAGGATCCCCGTGCCCGTTGCTGCGGCGTGGGACAGCCCCGCACACGCAGCTTTTCCAGGGGGTTTGTCTGGGCGTGGACAGGGGGACAGCAGGATGCTGAGGTGGGCGATGAGAATGACACGCTGAAGGGCAAGCAGGGAACTCGCGTGCCTTGGGCAAATTCACAAAGAGCCCAAAGCCTGTGACACGAGATTTACAGAGGAGAGCACCCAAGGTCCTGCAGATACAGTAGGGCAATAAATAACCTGCTGCTCCAAGAAAGGCCCCGGTCCCGCACGTCCTACCGAGTCAGCAGTGACCTTTGTCTTGCAGCGTTCTTGACATGAAAATATAAATTTCAGCAATGTGGAGAATACGGCTCTCGGATTAGAGATTAAGGATAATTACTGCTCCTAGCTAAATTGGAATAATGCATTTTCCCATAAACCAGAGACAAACATTCATGTCATTCGTACACATAATGGAATGGTAATTGTCAATTTTCTTGGATATTTTCTTGGGAAACAAGTGTGCAATTATGACGGCTGGCAGCAATGTGTGAGCACACTGTCTCTAGTCTTGGGATCAGCCAGGGCACAGCGGCAGCAGCAGGTTTTCAGTCTCCTTGAGTGTATGTGGCACAGGAAGAAGGCATCCCGTCTCTCCTGGAACTGCCTGTGAGCACGAAAGCCAGTCCTCTCTGTAACCACCACCAGATTCCCTGGGTTTTGGACTGGAAAACCCAAATTCAGCGTGTGAACTATGTGTCTTGTGCAGTACTGTGTTTCCAGCCCTGGACAGACAGCAAGCGAATTTTGCTCACTCTGTTTTAAAACCTTCACTAGGAAATGGGTGGAGGAAAGGAAGCATCTGCCTCCCCGTCATCGTGAAGAACTCAGGGAAGACACCCATCAGCTGCTATCACATTTTCTGGCCCCACTCTCTTCTTTAGGAGAAGGCAAAAGCTCTGGTCACAGCGCGGTGACCCTCTGCCTTAACTCTCAGGCCAAGTGGTGCAGACTCTTGCAATCACACTGTTCAAAGCCCAGGGCCCTCTGAACAGAGAGGTCACGCTGCAGACTAGTAGTAGTGCATTTTAGTAGGAGATCGGGTCTGTCGGCCCTTGATCCTAAACAGTTTGCATCCATCAGGAACAGCGGAGTTCCTCAAGGACACTCCTGGAGACCTGTAACAGGCGCACTTTGTGTGCCTCACTTCTGTACTGTACATAGCATACAAATCATAGTGCAGCTATCCCTGGGTCGACACACAGATGATCCCCTAGGCTGACGCCAGAATGGGGCTCAGACACAGAACAGCAGGTAGGCAACAGGGATGATCAGAAACGAGAGCCTTAGTAGCACAGGAGACATACTGCCAGGGAGAAGTCAGGACAGAAGTCAGGAGAGCCAAGCACGGTAGCTGGCTTGAAGGCATCTGGAGGCAGACTCCCCTGAACTCCTCATTCAGGTTATTGCTTTTTGGTTTTCTTCCCGTGTGGGCCCTCTTGCCTGCCTTCACGGGAGTGCGCATGCAGGCAGCTTCGCAAGCGGGCAGCTGCCCTGGCTTCCTGCGCTGCACAGGCTATTGCTGCAGCACAAACCCGCTTCTCGCTTTCTTTCAGATTGTCCTCAGTACTTCTGTGTTGTACTTGTAGTTTTTCTTAAAGTTACCATTTGTGATTGGCAGAGAGAACACTCTTGAAAATCGTATTACTACTCTGCCCATTTTCCTAGCTCAGTGCTGAAAGTGTACGTGCAGAAGATCCCCTGAAAAACACGTGAAGTGGGCAGAACGCCTATGGCAAACAGCACACTGAGGGAGGCCTCAGGTAACTGAAGTCAGCCTGACTCACATTTTGTGATCTTACAGAAAAACACTTTGACGAAAACAAAAAGGTTTTGTTCTTTACTAAGCAGCAGGTTAAGGAAGGGAGTCAAGCTAGGGAGAACAGACTGCAAGTAGGGGTTTTTCTAGCTGTGCCTGCTAATTTGCATGGGTGGCATGTGCATATAGATAAAGTGGATGTGAAAATCAATATACTTTTCTATAGGAAAGCTCTGCAAACCCTTGCGGCTTTTCCAGTCAGAGCAGGTGTGGGAAAAGCTCACCTGAGTCTGAGTCGTCTGGGCTGACTGAGCTCAACAAGTCTTTCTCTTTTTCATAGTCACTTTTGCAGAGCAACTGCCCTTCCTTAAGAACAAACTCGTCCCCTTTCCTCAGCTGTCGTTCACAAACGCAGCAGCAGAAGCAGCTTAAGTGGTAAACACACTCCAGGGCTCTCATCACGAACTCTGTCGGGGCGATCTTTTCCATGCAGCCACTGCACTTAGCAGCAAACAGCCTGTAAGAAAGAGAGGCAGTGAAGTCAAAGGGAATGTCAGATCATACACTGTGTGAATTCAAATGCAGCAAATTCTCTAATTTAACTACAGATCAGCTTGGCTCATGTCTTTGCACACTGCGAGACTTGCATCCTTACTCTTGGAAACATCACAGCCATGCAGTTTATTCAAATCTCAATCCCTTTGGTCTAGAGATTCCCAAATCACCTTTGCTGGATAAAAAGTACTGAGATTTGTCGTTATCTCGCTGTTCTGTTCCTCTTCACAATGAGAAATAAAAAGGTGCTCTCAAGGGTTTGGACAACTTGTTCAAAACTAAATTTATTTTAATTCACCTTTTAGAGGAAGGGCCGATTCACACTTTGTTTTATACAGGCTCTCTGGTTTCAGCACTTAAAACCCTATTCTGAATGGATTTCATGACTTTCCATTTTTGGTATTGTCTGTCTCCGAGGAGGCAGACAAACGAACGCAGAAACAAGCATGAAAACCGGGTGCTATGGCTGAGAAGACGACACACACACATGCAATCGCACACATGCAATTGATAAAGAGAGGAGTGAAATAACACGGCTTTTCTTCGGATGTTGAGTTATTCCAGAACAACCTGTCCCTGAAGGGAGCACTGTGCATTTTAAATGGTGTGAAATATCCTTTGGCAGAGATAGGCAGTGATACAATCTGCTAAATTACCACTATAATCACAGGCTCTAGAATTCACACTGTATTCCAGACTAGTTCTTATTAAACCTCTATACACACACACCCCCCCTTCATCCATCATTAATTTTCTAAGATAGAATGATTTAGATTAATTTTATTTTGCTTTTCTAATGGCAACTGGGAATCTCCTTAAGTGAGCTTTTAGGAAGAGGGCTGCTTCAAATAAAGATGAATAGCTAAGTTACGTCCCTGTGTCACGCAGTGGGCTTGGTGATTTGAAATTCAGTGTCTTTTGTGGCAATACATCAAAGCGCAAGATGCATTAACATTTACATCTCGGCGATGAAATTAACACAACTGCACCCAAGTGTTCACAGGGAAAAAAAGGAGACTCTGCCTTTTAGGATGGGGTACGCTGATGGGGTTTTTTCATCCTGAAAATTATCACCTTTTATAAAAAAGGCGATTATCTTCAATTTTAGAAGGCACAGGCTCTGGCAGTTACTGATTCCTCCAAAGCCTCCATTTTGTCTGAGCTGAGAAGTACACCAAAATGGCAGTCAGAAGCTCCTCAGCAAAATGATGGGAGTCACAGAATGGGCAGGAGGAAAAGGAAAATGTAAATACCTTTGCATACGGCATCCAAAGAGAGGCTGAGCGCCCAAGAACTCGCGGGGTTTCCCCATCTGTGTCTTTCGATCTAATAAAGGAGAGCTACGCTACGAACCTGGCTGGCGCGGTGCGGACCTCTGCACGGCCACAGCCACGAGGAACAGCTGTGCCTTGTACAAGCCACGCAAGGCGGACCGAGTGGCTCTTTTTTGGGTACGTAACGAATTAAATCAATTAAAGGGAAGCTGATGCCACGCAGGACACTCGGGCACTGCTAGTACATAGGCCGTCTTACTTCATACAGCCCACCACGTTTGCCTGCAAGGTTTTTCTTACAATGCTTCAGCTGGCAAATCCCTAGGCAGGAAATATTTTTATCTATACACCGAACATATCTGCAAGGATTAAAACACAAAGGGAGAAGAAGAGCAAACAGGCCTTAAGCACTTAAAAAAGTCGTTTCTGTTTAACTGCTTAAACCCATTTGACTCAGCTGAGTGAAGCCCGTATCTTCAGCGGGAGGGCTGCGGGCACGACGGAGCGCACCGACAGACCCCGGAGACCAGCAAACCCGGCGCGGAGGCGTCCGGCTGCGCCCCCGGCCCCGCTCGCGGAGCCACCGACC